ATTTTTGTGAGTGCCCTTCAACGGGAGGAATAACCTTTAAAATTTGATTTTGATGGGATATTTATGCTGTTAAAGTTTTATTATATATGCTGTTACGATTTCTATTTCTAAGTATTTATGTATGCTTTTGGAATTTTTATTTCCTATATACATTGTTTTTAGTCTTCACAATAGTGGTTATCTCGCTATCCGCTATGCCGCTATAGCATTTTGGGGGTTCGGCGTTAAGCGTTGCTTACCGAGATTAACAACCTAGGTTAGTATCATGCACCCTACAAGACACTAACATACATGAGTATATTTAATTGCTTCCATTTTCTTAAATTATCAATAGTATCCACATGCCAGGGTTTGTCCGTGTATGTGTTTGTGCTTCATTTTCATTTCCAAAAGCAAAAACTATAACTTTTCGGTTAGACTATGATGGTAGATACTGCAAATAACTAGCTGTATGACAACATTGAGTTTTTAGTTTCTTGCACTTTGTAGGTAAACACAGAGAGGGCAATACGTCATGCAATTCAGGAGCGATTGCCTATTGTTGTTGTTATGAATAAGGTAAACATAATTATTTTTTATATGAATGGTGGCTATGTGTTAGTCTTTTATCTTATTCCCCTTATTTTATTCTCAGTTGTTTGCTGTTTTTGTTTTTAGGTTGACAGGCTCATAACTGAACTTAAACTACCTCCAAAAGATGCTTACCATAAATTGAGGCATACTTTGGAAGTCATTAATAACCACATATCTGCTGCCTCCTCAGTTGCCGGTGATGTCCAAGTTATAGATCCAGTTGCAGGAAATGTTTGTTTTGCAAGTGGCACTGCTGGATGGTCATTTACGTTGCAATCATTTGCTAAACTGTATGGGAAGCTACATGGAGTTCCCTTGGAAGCTAATAAATTTGCTTCTCGCCTTTGGGGTGACTACTATTATCATCCCGACACCAGAACATTCAAAAAGAAACCCCCTGTGGGTGGTGGAGAACGGTCTTTTGTTGAGTTTGTGTTGGAGCCGCTTTACAAGATATATAGCCAAGTTATTGGGGAACATAAAAAGAGTGTGGAGACAACCCTTGCGGAACTTGGTGTTACACTAAGTAATGCTGCATACAGACTGAATGTCAGACCTTTGCTAAGGCTGGCTTGCAGCTCTGTTTTTGGTTCAGCTTCAGGTTTCACTGATATGCTTGTTCAGCACATACCTTCACCAAGAGATGCTGCAGTTAGGAAAGTTGATCATATATATACTGGACCTAAAGACTCATCCATCTACAAAGCCATGACACAATGTGATGCTTCTGGCCCACTAATGGTTAATATAACCAAATTGTATCCAAAATCTGATTGTAGTGTGTTTGATGCTTTTGGTAGAGTATATAGTGGCAAGATACAGACAGGACAGACCGTCCGTGTTCTCGGAGAGGGATACTCACCTGATGATGAGGAGGACATGACTGTAAAAGAAGTAACGAAGTTGTGGGTTTATCAAGCTCGCGACAGGATGCCAATAGCTGAGGCTCTTCCAGGTTCTTGGGTTTTGATTGAAGGTGTGGATGCTTCAATAATGAAAACCGCAACTCTTTGTAATGTGGATTTTGATGAGGATGTATACATATTCAGGCCCCTTCTGTTCAATACTCTGTCAGTGGTAAAAACTGCCACTGAGCCATTAAATCCAAGTGAGTTGCCAAAAATGGTGGAGGGTCTGAGGAAAATTAGCAAGAGTTATCCTTTAGCTGTTACTAAAGTAGAGGAGTCTGGGGAACACACTATATTAGGGACTGGTGAGCTGTACTTGGATTCAATTATGAAGGACCTGAGAGAGCTCTATTCTGAAGTAGAAGTCAAGGTCATATACCGCTTTCCATTTCCCTTTTCAACTCTTTCAATAATTAATTTTAATTCTCATTTTTTGGGTTAGACGTTGACTTAAAGCTGTTCCTTTGTTGAAGCTGGTCCTTTCCTGTGCTTTTGCAGGTAGCCGATCCTGTTGTCTCATTTTGTGAAACAGTTGTTGAGTCTTCATCAATGAAATGTTTTGCTGAAACACCAAACAAGAAGAATAAAATAACAATGGTAGGTATCATATAGATTTCATCACAAAGTGATCATTTCTTAGTTCATGATACATTTTTCTTATGCTGTGTTATTTTTCACTTCACTCATAAAACTCTTGGTCATTCTTTAGATTGCCGAGCCACTAGAAAGAGGTCTGGCAGAAGACATAGAGAATGGTGTTGTTAGCACTGACTGGAACAGAAAGAAACTAGGTGAATTTTTTCAGACTAAATATGACTGGGATCTTCTTGCTGCTCGGTCAATCTGGGCTTTTGGCCCTGATAAGCAGGTAAATAACTCTATCTTTCTATCTATTTGCCCAACTGTCTCCTGAAACTTATGTGTAACATATTCTAGTTCAAATGCAGGGCCCTAATATTCTTTTAGATGATACCCTTCCTACTGAAGTTGACAAGAACCTGCTCAATGCCGTGAAGGATTCCATTGTTCAGGGGTAAACATACAATACATTTATTTATTCAGCCGTTCATTGATTAATTGATTTCACTTTGATAATGTAATGACATTTAACAGATTTCAGTGGGGTGCGCGGGAAGGACCTTTGTGTGATGAACCCATTAGAAATGTTAAATTTAAGATTGTTGATGCAAGGATTGCCCCTGAGCCACTTCATCGTGGATCTGGCCAGATCATTCCAACAGCACGGCGAGTGGCTTATTCAGCGTTCCTTATGGCCACCCCCCGCCTTATGGAACCAGTATATTACGTAGAGGTATGCATATACTTTGCTGTTTTATGCTTCAATATTGACTGGATATAGTGAACTCATTGTAATCATTCCATGGTTCTCAATCTAATTGATGATTATATCTTTTGAGAAGGAGCCGCGCATACAAGCTAACAAGCAGAACATATCCATCCTTATATTTAAAATTGATGGGTCTAAGCTAAGCAGAATGTCCTTTTTGTATGTGGCTGGAGTGATGTAATTTTACGGAAGTAGCAAAATAATTACTGTATTTGCTTGAACTAATCTCATATAGTAACTCATGAACACCAATTTTACCTTTTCACTCATGCTTGCTCTGATACTGATAGTATTGTTCTTTTTGCCTTTGAGTCAGATTCAAACACCAATAGATTGTGTGTCTGCTATCTACACTGTGTTGTCTCGTAGGCGTGGACATGTTACTGCTGATGTTCCTCAACCAGGCACCCCAGCTTATCTTGTTAAGGTCATTGACTAACTTTTCCCTGTAAATTTATTTAATGTAATGTTGTTTGCTTCTGTGCACTGCCATGGTTTTAAACTTATTCTAATGCTACTGACCTTGTTCTCCATATTTCTCAGGCATTTTTGCCCGTGATAGAATCTTTTGGTTTTGAGACAGACTTGAGATACCATACACAAGGTCAAGCGTTTTGCCAATCAGTTTTTGATCACTGGGCTATTGTTCCAGGAGATCCTCTGGACAAAAGCATTGTTTTGCGCCCACTTGAACCAGCACCAATCCAGCATCTTGCTCGCGAGTTTATGGTAAAAACAAGGCGCAGGAAGGTATGGCTTTTTTCTGTTTTTGTTTTCTCAAGAGTTGATAACTATTATTTAAATGTACTGTGTTTTTAACTTGGAGGTCTCACGATGATACTATTCCACCTTTATATCTAATGATTTGCTTTATCCTTCTTGAGAAAAAAAGGGAATAAAAAAAACCGTGCACATAAAACTAGAAGATAGGGTCATGCAAACTTAAAGGAATGTTAGCGAGCAACGTCATCTATTATAACTTGTTCCTGCAAAGGATTTATTGTTTGTTTTTTCTCGCAGGGAATGAGTGAAGATGTAAGTATAGGTAAGTTCTTTGATGAGGCTATGATGGTGGAACTCGCACAGCAGGCGGCAGATCTTCATCAACAAATGATATGATTCTTCACAATTATTTCTGTCCGGTTTGATGTTCATTTTGGACTTGGTTTGACATTCGGGTCTTTAGACTGTGAAACTGGAATGTATGTGACACAGCTATTTACCATACTGCTGCTAGCTATTAGTTATGGCACTCAAAGTTGGCATGTGTGTGACACAGCTATTTACCATACTGCTGCTAGCTATTATGGCATTCAACTAGAAGTCAATTATGGTCTCACTGGAAAAGTCTATTATGTAATCAAATGAGTATTTTGTACTAGTAGCATATCCCGCAAAAATATAACCATTGAAATTGTATGAAAGAGTTTGTATTTATGTCTGCATACTGACTGACATATCAACAAAGCCCCATTTAAGATAAGGTTTACTGGAAGAGAATTGTGACATTGGTCAAGACAAAAAAACTAGATAATGCAGAACACTCACTTTCACTTGATTATTTTCTCTTGCCTTTGGTTTTGTAGTTTGACAATTTGTACATCCCTTTCTCAGGTTTTAATTAGCTCATTGTGAAAAAAACTAATTGGCATGATTCCTTTTCATTGTGCTATTTCAACATCTTTTGGTATTTTAATGTTCTTAAGTTATTCCATTTTTACATCTCTTGATAGAAATAGCTCAGGAGTAACTATGGTTGTCAAAATTTTGAATTAGCAGTTGACTATCCTACATAATCCTTATCACTCACCACTATTTTTGTAATACTAATTTCTTTAAAATAACACCAATAAGTGCAAAAGTACATGAACAGTATAACAATTAAATTAAAGGAAAACTATCAGTGTGGAGTCCGTTCTTTCCTAAGGAAAGTTTAATAAACTATAAATATAACTACATTGTGCTTCATGATATACAATGCTCATGTCTCTCTTTCCCATTAACAATGGGAAAAACAATTATAAATTTCTTTTGAATTTGAATTATTTTCTCTCCCCCACCAGTTCTCTCCCCCACCAGTGATCACTGGTCAGCACAAGATAAAGGCATAGATGAATTTATGTACATAACAATTTCACCTCACAAAAAAAAAGGTATTGCTGAAGAATAATCTATCCTTCTAGCAGACATTTAAGATTCTGAAGTCCCTCAGCAGATATACTTCTCCTAACTCTATTAGGCCTTTCAATAATCATAGGTGGCGGTGGATCTGATTGAAAACACACCATCACAACAGTTAAATTATCTGTTGCCCCTCTCTTTATTGCTTCACCTACTATTTCCTTGCAACATTGTTTAACATCATTATGCTGTTGAAGCTTCCTCCTAGCAAAATCAACCGCATTTTGGCTACGAAAAACATCCCATATTCCATCGCTTCCGATTATCATAAACTCGTCATCTTTCGTCAATGTTGTCAGTTTAAGTTCTGGTTCAGCACTCAATGGTCCACCTCTTCCACTCATTTCCTTCATTCCTTCAAGATGCCAGTTGCCCAGAGCACGTGTCACTGCTAACTGTCCGTTCAAGTAACCATCATCAACAAATCCGCCGAGCGACTCAATCCTCGTCCTTTCTTTCATACATAACGGCCTGTGATCTTTGGACATTTCTATAGCCCCTCCGGCCCGGGACAAAACAGCGCGGCAGTCTCCGGCATTAGCCACGAGTAAAGACCTTCCAAATATAATTGCTGTCAATGCAGTTGTACCAGAAGAAAGCGAAGATTCAGCCGAGCATGTTTTTGCAAACTCCGAATCAGTCTCCAAAAATGACCTCGTGACCACCTTCTCGAGTTCAAGAGGGAAGTCAGAATCCTCAACAATCACCCTCGGCAGATGATCGCGGACAAATTGAGCAGCACTCTTCCCTCCATGTCCATCAAATACCTGCACAAAACACAAATTGCCTTCAATGTTAAATCCCGATTAAGATCGGGTGCTTACCCTCTTAAGCAAAACGATTAAAAGGCGTTTATCCCAATTTGGTTAAGAATGAACTTTTCCAACCAAAATTTCATGACAATAGACAGTTAACAAAATCAGTTAGATAGCTTACACCATAAAAGGAAATAGTTTCGTCGCAGACAACATTATAACCGAATTTCTTCGCCAAGTCTCCGATGCATATATGAGTATCCTCCATGTAAGGCCGACCTCCAATATCAGACCACTCTCCCGACCGAAGCGTGGGGACAAAATTTATCAGGTTCTGTTTTTTCTCTGTAGTCTCTGCATCTTCACAAATACTTTCCAGCTAAAATATACACAAAAGTTATAATTATAAATATTAGCTATAGCCTTTGATAATCATAATTTCTTTTCAATCTCTCTTCAACCAAAGTATCAAAACAACCATACAAGAAAAATAGAATATCCAAAGATAAAATAAAGTCAAACACGCTATAAGCTATTTTCATAAGCTATTCTAAAAAGCTTATGGAAATCACCTTAAAAAACAAAATCATCTTAGGAACAAATCATAAGTTGTTTTCATAAATTCTAAAACATGTTAAAATATCAAAAGGCAGCTTATAATAGAAAGAAAGAAAAGAAGGAAGACAACACTAACAGGAAATGAATCTGCAACACTGATCTGGCCATTGGAAATTCCAAAAGAAGAGTCTTTTTCTGTATTATCCATCTGGGCATGCAATAGATCACAATGCAAAGGCCATGGAATTCTTTTATCATTATCTTGATCAACTTGTTCATCCTCTTGCACACACATGTTGACAACAACAGTAGTTGTTACCAAGTGGAACTTTTTTCAGCTCAGAAAAACTTGCAGTTGCAGCTGTTGTAGGTTTGGAAATCAGAAAGTAAATACAAAAAAGTCACTGACAACAACAATAAAAGACTTGATATAAGAGGAGAGAGAAAGAGAAAGAGAAGATTCTTAGAATATGTTTAGGAAATTGATGTGTTATTTTCGTTGTTTCTTTATAGTAATATTTTTAGTGTTTTTTGTGTGTTAATAAACTAATGATAATAATAATACGCTAAAGTCAATTTAGTTGCAAAGATATTAAATGCTAGAATGCAGGTTTGAACCCAGATATTTTATCTAGGTATGACAACAAATTCGTAACCGCGAATATCCAGCTGAACTTGCTCTGAAATTGACGGAGAAAATTCGTTTTGACTGGTTTGAACTTTCTCTAATTATAAAATATGAAAATCGATCAGGTAATAGAAACATTAGTATCCACTTCGAACCTGCCTCTAAACGTGTCCCGTTCATTTGATATATATATATATATATATATATATATATATATATATATATATATATATATATATATATATATATATATATATATATATATATATATATATATATATATATATATATATATATATATATATATATATATATATATATATATATATATATATATATATATATATATATATATATATATATATATATATTTATTATTTATTTTTGATAATTTAAAAGATTAAATATATAGTCTAATGTTTTGATAATTTGATTTGTAATTATTATGTAAAATATTTAAATTGTTTGTATATAATTTTTTGAGATTATTTTATTTTATTATTTATAATATAAATTAATTTTAAAAAACTAAATATTTTTATTTAAAAAAATAATTTTATTAAATAAATGATTACAAGGCCTATATTCGAATCTAATTCGAACTCGTTTAAGACAAGTTTGAATTTTAATTCTCTATTTCTATTTGAGTTTAGGGAACAAAAATTATTTAAAAATTTAAATTTGAGTTTAAAGATATAAAATTGTCCCCTATATGCTCTGTTATCATGTCTAATTTTATCAATTCTTTTTTCAATCACTAAACTATTTAATAAAATAATAATAATACGTGTGAAAGAGAGAAAATAGAATCTTTTAAGTTCTAGATTTCTCAGAGAAAAGTGTGGCCTAAAATTGTTGGTTGGATTTATTAGATGATTCTTTGATATTATAATGTTTAATGCTATTGGATAATGTCATTTTCTATGCTTACCTATCATATTGCAATCCCACTCTTTCTTTTTAATATTGTTACTATTTTATTATTATTTTTCTCTTTTTTTTTTTTTTTTTTTTTTTTTTTTTTTTTTTAATCTTTATGCGAATTTTTTTTACAATAATTAAGTTTTAAAAAAATCGTAAATAACCATGTTTCGAAGAAAATTATATAAATAACTATGTTTTAGAAAATTCTATAACGGAGGAGCCATCTCACTTGGCGCTTACACCTTAAATTAAAGGGGAGGCGCCATCTCACTTGACTCCTAGGTGTTAAAAGTGTGCCTTAAGCCATGTGAGATGGCGTCTTAGTGTAAAGGAAGTCCAATTTTTTTCGTTTTTTATTTTAAATGCGGGATATTAAGTAAACGATATAGCTTCACGAAAATTCGACTTTTTATTTACACGAAAACGATTACATAATAAAAAAATACAAAATAATTAGTGGTCCTCCCCGGTAGCGACCTGCAATTCCGCATCCACGTCCCCTCCTGTCTCGTGGTAGGTTTCGTCGCGTTTCCTGTTGTGGTAGGGTCGATGGCCCAACGAAGTCAATGCGTTTCGGATCCATAAAATCGGTCAGATCTCCATATCTGAAAGATCCGCTTTGGTACATTCGATTACGCATACCCTCAAAGTTTGGTCGTCTTGGTGGTGGTTGGGGTTCTATGATTGGTCTATAGCACTGGTCGTCTGAGTAAGGGAAGTAGAAAGGAAATGAATCCTGGGGTATTTGGTATTGTGAATGTTGGATGCTTTGGTGATATGGTGGTTGATGGTAAGTTGGGCCGATTGGGTCATATTCTTCGGAAAATCCCAGATCAAGGTTAAGGTTAGATGTTGAGGGGTCCATATTGGGATATGGAGAAGACTGGAATTGTGTGTGGGGCATGCAGGTGTATTGGTATTGTGATTGAGATTGTGGTTGGGTGTGAGGCATATGGGGGTATTGATATTGAAGTGGTGATTGTGGTTGGGTGTGGAGCATGTGGGTGTATTCGTATTGTGGTGGTGATTGTGGCTGGGTGGTTGTGGATCTGTATCATCGGGGAGATTGATGTGTGTTGGGTTTGTTGTTGAGGAAATGAGGGTTGTGCTCATTGTGTTCGTGGGTCAACCAAATACCTTGGATGAGACACGTGCATTTCTGGGTTACTAACCGATCTGTACCAAGCTAAATATTGATCAGTGTGTCGCATATTACTCTGGTTGAAGAAAACAGGGAATTGGAAGACATGTTAGTGACGCCCATGCCACATCTTACACCACTCTGGAGCAAAATATTTTCAATTGGTAAGACTCCATTGGGCGTCGACCCTTTTGAGATCCGACGGGGACAAACAAGTTGGATCGCAGGGTATCTCTTGATGCATTCCAAACTGCATCTTCACACGGTCGATGTGGTGCATCTTCATAACGTTGAACCGTATGATTGCAGTCTTTGTGGTCCAAATTGCTGCATCCTCGGAGTTTGATTCATGGTCCAAACCCAAATATGGTCTCCAGATAAACTGTGGATAAAATTAAATCAGCTTAATGAAAACATAGTAAATAAATAATTTAAAAGTAGAAAAGTTCAAAGGTATGACGTATATCATCCGGGCCAAGGTGATCCAATAAATCATGATATAGAGCGACATTGAATCTGGGATTCTTGCCGTAATCCATACCCATCACGCAGTACCTAAAGGAATTGTAAAATAGTTAATTTTTATCATATATTTGGTGAACAAATGAATAATAAATGATATAAGCTCTTGACTTACTTTGTTGCGTATGGGAAAAAGAATGCGTTGTTGTTGACGGGGTTTAGGAACTCCACTCTCCACCGACCCCAGGCTTGGAGTAAAAAAGCGCATCCATAAAAAGTACATTTTTCCTTGGTTGCATTTTTATACAAGGAACTGTATAGATGGGCTAAAACAGCAGAACCCCAACTATACTTTCTAATTTTTTCAAATTTTCTAAGTAAATTTAAATACATGAAATTTACAATATTTCCCGTACTTTTAGGAAATAAAAAGGTTCTAAAAAGTATCATTATATAATTTCTAGCTTTTATTACTCTAGATAACTCGGAGGAATTTTCGTTCAACTCCAGAGTCGCATAATGTTTTTTGAGTTCAGTAAGTAAAATACCTTGGCCTCTAGCACCACCACCTTCAACCATATCTTTTTCCAATAATTCCTCGCATAGAGAGTTGGGCTGTTGAATCCACCTGTTAACCATCTTACTGTCGGCAGGGAGACCCAATAACATGTACACATCCTCTAGTGTGACAGTACATTCACCTATTGGTAGATGAAATGTGTGTGTCTCGGGTCTCCACCTTTCCAACATTGTAAGTATGAACTTTGAATCAATCGTGCAGTTAGAGATCTTTATAACATTTTCGAAACCTGTATATTCGAGATAGGGCACAATCAATGGGTCGGGAGCAATGTAGTTATGTGACCGAATTCTGAATCTTTTAGTATCCTAAATTCAAAATGTAAAAAGTGTAAGAGTCCATAAGATGTATAAATCATTAACAATATTATAAAAAATTTATAAGTATACAAGAATATTTGAGAATTTATAAAAACTTATAAACACTGCAATGTTATCCCTTGTGCCTCTATGAGAATCGCCCATTGTGAGAAGAGCCATAGTTGAAATTGTATGAGATAACGAAAGAGTTTGTATCAGAGAGTGAGATGATTGTTGATGCAAAACAAGTATGTGAGGCTCTATATTTATAGTCAAAATTTTATCACAGAGTGAATAAATTAGGTGGTTGGTGGGTGCATGCATGCATGATATGTGTAACTCATGAGGTGGTTGCAGTGTGGGTGCAGGCTAGGTGGCAGCCTTAGGGAAGGCATTTCTGCATGCATGTAATACGATTGGACATGTAGGGAGGCGCCATTTGACTTGGCGAATGAGTACAAAATTGAAAGGTATCGCCATAAGTTGGCGAATTAGAGGTGGCATGGGTTGCAGGTTAGGTGACAGCCTTGGGGAAGGCATCTCTACAAGCATGTAATACGACTGGACATGTAGGGAGGCGCCATTTAATTTGGCGAATAAGTATAAAATTGAAAGGTGTCGCCATCCCAGTTGGCAAATTAGAGGTGGCATGGGTTGCAGTGTAGGTGCAGGCTAGGTGACAACCTTGGGGAAGGAATCTCTGCATGCATGTAATACGATTGGACATGTAGGGAGGCACCATTTGACTTGGCGAATGAGTATAAAATTTAAAGGTGTCGCCATCCCAGTTGGCAAATTAGAGGTGGCATGGGTTGCAGTGTAGGTGCAGGTTAGGTGACAGCCTTGGGGAAGGCATCTCTGCATGCATGTAATACAATTGGACATGTAGGGAGGTGCCATTTGACTTGGCGAATGAGTACAAAATTGAAAGGTGTCGCCATCCCAGTTGGAGAATTAGAGGTGGCATGGGTTGTAGTGTAGGTGCAGGCTAGGTGACAACCTTGGGGAAGGCATCTCTGCATGCATGTAATACGATTGTACATGTAGGGAGGCGAATTAGAGGTTGCTTACTATTGTTTTATTCAAATTCAGTACAACCTATTTAATCCTACATTTATCAAAACACTTCTACACTTAATCACTCAAACACTCGAACATTCAAAAATTCAAACAATCAACTCAAAGACTCAAAGACTCAAAGACTTAAACCTTCAAACACTCAAACCTTCAAACATTCAAACACAATGGCCTCTACACCATA